AAAGAAAAATTAAACAACAAAAAGAAGACAGAAAAAAGAAAAAAAAATGACGGAAAAGAACCCAAGAAAAAAAGAAAAAAAAAACTTTATTATTAAACTCTATCTTGAAGAACAGAAATTGATCGAGTTTTCACATTCTTAGAACATCGCGTTTCTAGGAAGAAATATATGATTTCGAAGACATTACAGGAAATGTCGGAAAATCTATCAATTTTATTTTCCTTCTTGAGACACTTCTAGAACTTCTTCTGATCTTATTTCTATTATTTCTATTATAGTTTTTATGTCATCATCAAATTCAGTTGCTCTTTTTGTTGTGTTTCATATTGTTGCTGTTATTTTTTTCATTGTTCTTGTTCTCATTATCATTATGAGTATTTGCAATGTTATTATCATCATCATTATCGTTATTGTAAGCAGTAGCATTAATGTTGTTATTCATTATTGTCTTAATTATAACAATAAGAATCATTATCACTTTGTTATCCTTAGTATCAATAATATCCTAATCACAATTTCTAATATCCTAATAACAACGAAAAGGATAAAAAGAATAACAACAACAATAACAAATCATCTATTTAAAAAAAGAAAAGAAAAAATATTAGTAAGCCTAATAACAAAAGCAATCACTACCCCCATTATCATTATCAACATACATAAAATAATTATCAAAACTTTCCCTAATCTATTTAATCGCTTTATCAAAATGGATTTACAGCAGAGTTAGAAAATACTTCATCACCGCTCTCATGTTGTGATAATTATGATGTTGCTTAATAACACTGTTTAAACTAGGGCTTTGCTCATCTCTGCCAGTGGTGTGTTGCTGTTTTTTTGAGTCGCAGAAAAAAAGGAGAGAGAGAGGAGAGAGACAGAATTAGGAGAGAGAGAGGAAGGTGAGAGAGGAGAGAGACGAGAGAGAGGAGAGAGAGAGGAGAGAGAGAGAGAGAGAGGGAGGAGGGAGGGAGGAGGAAGGGAGAAAGAGAGAAAGAGAGAGAGCAGAAGAGAGAGAGAGAGAGAGAGAGAGAGCAGAGAGAGATGAGAGAGAGAGAGAGGAGAAGAGAGCAGAGAGAGAGAGAGAGAGAGAAGACGAAGAAGAACAAAAGGATGGGCATGGAAAATAATGAAAAGCTGAAGATGATGATGAAGAGAGAAGATAAGGAGAACACAAAATAATGGTAATATGTGAAGATGATAATGAAAAAAGAAGGAAAAAACGGACAAGGAGAAAATATAAGGATAAGATAAAAAAAGAAAATATACAAGGATGATAAAATGAAGAAGATGAAGAAACAGAAAAAGGACAAGAAGAGAAAATAATGATAAGATGATGAAGAAGAAGAAAAGAAAGAAAGAGAAGTGAAAAGACGAAGAAGAGAATGATATCGTTAAATAAATTACTGGTCAAGTTTATTGGTACTTGATTATTTATATTATTTTTTGCCTCTCTCTCATTTTGGCTGTTAATGCTTCTGTCTCTGCGCCTGTTTTATTACTTTATTTTTTTCTTTTTCTTTTTTGTCTTTGCATCTGTCTCTGTTTGATTCATCTCTCGCTCTTTTCTCTCTCCTTCCCATTCTCTCCCATCTCCACTCTTTTTCTCTCTCTCCTTCCCCTTCTCTTCTCTCTCTCTCATCTCTCATCTCTCACTCTTTTTCTCTCTCTCCTTCCCCTTCTCTCCCATCTCTCACTCTTTTCCTCTCTCTCCTTCCCCTTCTCTCCCATCTCTCACTCTTTTTCTCTCTCCTTCCCTTCTCTCCCATCTCTTCGCTCTTTTTCTCTATCTCCTTCCCCTTCCTCTCCATCTCTCACTCTTTTTTCTCCCTCCCATCCCATTCTCTTCCCATCTCCACTCTTTTTCTCTTCTCTCCTTCCCCTGCTTCACATCTCTCGCTCTTTTTCTCTCTTCCTTCCCCTTCTCTCCATCTCTCAACTCTTTTCTCCCTCCCATTCTCCATTCTTCTCCCATCTCTCACTCTTTTTCTCTCTCTCCTTCCCCTTGTCTCCCATCTCTCGCTCTTTTTCTCCCTCCCATTCCCCTTGTCTCCATCTCTCCAAGCTATTTTTCTCTTCTCCTTCCCCCTTCTCTCCCACCTTTCATCTTCTTCCTCTCTCCTTCCTTCCTCCATCTCTCACTCTTTTTTCTCCTTCCCCCATTTCTCTCATCTCTTTTTTTCCCCCTCCCCTTCCCCTTCTCCTCCCATCTCTCAATCTTTTCCTCTCTCTCCTTCCCTCTCTCCCATCTCTCGCTCTTTTTCTCTCTCTCCTTCCCTTCTCTCCCATCTCTCACTCTTTTCTCCCCCCCTTCCCTCTCTCTCCTTCCCCTTCTCTCCCATCTCTCACTCTTTTTCTCCCTCTCCTTCCCTCTCTCCCATTCTCTCTCTTCCCTCCTCACACACACACACAGACCTTTACCCCCCCCCCCCTCCACACTTTTCCTCCACTTCTCCTCCACTTCTCCCGAAAAGAAAAGAAAAAAGAATCCAGATATGATACC